ATAAGAGTCTAACTTATTTTTTGGAGGTACATTTTTGGCTAGATTTTGACGTATATTCGTTCCAGGTCCACAGTACCGATATGATGGTATGTGAAGTGGAAATGGAAGATTATTTATAAGAGTATTCAATAGCCCTCGACCCCTGTAAGGCTTTAGGAATAAACCTTTGCCTTTTTTACATGTTTTCTTATTATTTTTTACCATTTTTATTATATAAAAAATGTCTTTTATTCAACAAAAACACAAATTTAAAATAGTACATACTAAGGAAAATATACCAAAGAAGTTGGGTCTATTTCCTACCAATATTCGATGTGTTATTTGTGGTCCAAGTGGAAGTGGGAAGACGGTTGTAATTTACAATTTAATTGTAAGAAAGGAAGGATTAAAATTTACAAACTTATATTTAATATCTAAATCTTTAGAACAAGAAAAATATAAAAAAATAATTGAAATATTTAGTTTGTGTGACGAAGTGAAATTACACACGTTTACTGACTGTGAAATCACACCAAATGATGTAAAATCACAGTCAGTTGTTGTATTTGATGACATAAATAGTCAAAATATTACACAATTTTTTTCAATGGGTCGACATAAAAATATTAACTGTTTTTACTTGTGTCAATCTTACAGCAAAGTACACAAACATTTACGTGATAATGTAAATTTCCTAATATTATTTAAACAAGATGATTTAAATTTAAAACATGTATATAACAATCATGTTGGTAATGACTTTTCATTTAACCAATTTAGAAATCTCTGCCACCAATGCTGGGATAAAACTAAATATGGCTTTTTTGTAATTGACAAAGAAAGGTCAAAGAATAATGGCAAATATAGATTTATGTTTGATCAATTTTATAGTGACCAAGCGCAAGCGTATTGATGCCATCTTCTAGAATAAACCTCTTGTCATCGTCAAATGATAGTACTTTCTTGTTCATGGTTAAGGTTTGAAGATGATGATTTGTAGATTTAATTCTTGTCACATTCTCATAGTAATCTTGCCCAGTTGCAATACAGTTCAAATAATGTTGATGTCTAAGGAGATGTTTAACTGTAGCACCATCAGCTCCTTTAGCTTTCTTCACCTCTAAAGCTTGCTTGTCTTCTTCATATAACCATTTTAGAGGAATATAAGAATATAACTTTGGTCTTAAACCACAATATTCATACATAATATGACCATCTAATTCGTCTTTGAACTTGCCTGTGACTTTTTTATTTTTATCAGAGTATAAGAAATGGTCTTTACTATATCCAGAGGTATCAAAATAGTGCAAGTCACTTTCTATTTCCTTGTAAAAGTCCTCTGTAACTATAGAATACATTAAAGAATCTGTATCAGTCATAAGAAATCTTTTGTTCTTAAATTTTGACATATAATTATAGTGGAAATCATACATTATTACTTTACTAATATCCAAAATTGTCATTCCCAAATATATCGGCTTATTAAACTTTACAACTAATTTATTTAAATGTATAGCATGTAAATTGTTATCGAACTTTTTGCTACAGTCAAACCTTGGATTAGTGACATATTTTGTTAATAGTGACTCATCCTTGAGATATATATCACGAAACTTGCGTTGGTTCATAATTGTTCGACCAAAGAGACTATTATTTAACAATTTGTAAAAGTCTTTTTCAAAATCATTTTTAGCACATTTGCGTTTTTCAATATTAAAATTAATATAGGGTGAAAGCCATTTTGATTGTCTAAATTTTAAAATTCTATAGTATTTTGTAGCAACCAAACCTAATTCCTCATATTTTTGTAATGCTTTATAATGTAAAATATATTTAGTTTTGTCATTTAAATTAGGTATTAATTTGCCATTCATTTTCTCAGGTGCTAATGGATAGTCATTATGTAAATCATGTAAGCTTTTATCGTATTTTAAATCAACTTCTAAGATATATCCAAACTCATCATTTTGATTGTTTTTGTAGTCTATCTCATTCGTCCAACGAAATCCATCCACGGGTAGTGTCTCACACATAGCTGTGGAGTATAGCGAGTTACAATCTAAATATATTAAATACACACTTTCTTGATTGGGATCATAATGTTTGCCCATATATCTATTATTGGCTTTAGCGTAACGTGTAGAAATCATACTGACTCCTCCTCTGATTGCACTTTCTATGAACAAATGCATGTCAATATCTTGAAATAATTGTAATTTTATACCAGTCATTCTAAGACAAGCTTCCCATGTTAGTCCTGGAAGTGAATACATATGTACGGGGTCAAGTTTGTAATCCTTTAAACACAGGTCTCTAAATGTCTCAAACACATCAGCCAGTAGCAATACATCTGTTTTAAGATATAAATCATGATATTCTTGTAAATTATGTATATTAAAATGGGTCCAGACATTTTTAGCATGTTCATATTCGATGGGAGAGATATGTTCTTTAGTTAAAGTACTGTAAAATTTTTCAATTGGAGGTAGAGACTCTGCAAACTTATCTGGTCCTGTCATATATTCATAGGGAAATACGCCTTTGCGTTGTAGTAGTGGATTGTCTATGAATCTAAATGTATTTAAATTGGAAGCTAATTTGTATAATGGAAGGGACAGAAAGTTATAGGAATCTAAAAATACTAAATCATCAACAGAGAATGAAATGTACTTTTCCATATCTTTGGCTATGCAATTTAATTTACGATTAAACTTTCCCAAGTGTTGCATAATTAAATGTCCATCGTAATTTTTTAAGTTATGAAAGAATACTGGTATTTTCTTTGTTACTTTATAGTTTAAATTGCAATCATTGTGGGCAGCTCCACGGTATTGGCCATTTGAATGACAATGTTCCCGTACCCTATCAAAATATAGAGGCTTTTCACAAATATGACAATGTGTTGAGTTTTGGAAAGATGCCTCTTGCTCAGGAGTCATTACAAGGGGGATATATATTGCCATTTGATTTTTAATGAAGTCATAAGTCTCAAACAACCTTTCGAAAAACACATCCATAACATTTTTGCCACTATATAACTCTTCAGAAATAATCTTAGAATCTTTTACTACGACAAATGCAAATCCAGATGGAGTATGGTTGTTAGAGTTTATAAAACACTCAAAATCAGCATAAATTACAAATGGGGCTTTAAGTTGATATTTATAATTTTTAAATTGTAATGTATCTTGTTTAGACATTTCCACTCGTTGGACATCAAAGTTTTTACAATATGTTATATGACACTCCAATTTATCTTTGGTGTAAAAATGTTGTAAACAAAACTTGCAAAAATGCTTTTTACTGTTATCTTTTGTTGACCGTAGCATTAACCTATTAAAATCACGAATTAAACAGTAATGTGATTTACGACCTTGTTGTAATAATAATAGATCTATATGAGTGTTACTATTCAGTTTGGTTCTTCTTAATGGATATATAAATTTTTGGTCTTCAACTCCAAATACATTAACACTTATATTATTCTTTCTTTCAAATTGATCTATGTCAGATATTTTTACGGGATATTTTATATTTGTCATGTTCAACTTACCTACGTAGGGTGCATAGTTAGAGACTCTATTAGCATGTTTAGCATTCCTTGGATGTAAAGCTGCTAAAATTGACCAAAGGAAGCATTTATTATCAACATTCTTTATATTTAAAACTGCTTTTGTCAATTTAATACTTTTTGGTGTGGGAATGTATGACTTTGGAGTTAGGGGCTTGTACTTGTAAACGTGCAACTGCCAATATTTAGTGTGGTCATATATCCATCCACTACCTTCCGCTTGATATTTGTGCATAGAAGCGTCAATCTTTAAAAGAGCATTTTCAATTTGAGGCTTTAAATCTCTCTTCTCAATGGTAAGGATAGTAAGGCTTCTGAAATCTGCAATACATTC